TGTATTTTTGAGGGGATTTGTATTGTGATACATATTTTGACATATTTATATACATAGATCTTGTTTATTTAATGATTTGTATAGTTTAATGCTTCCAATTGATTATTTTCATTCTATCCATATGTCTATGTATGCTAGAATAGATGTTCATGTGTTTGTCTATAGATTTTGTGTTATTGATGCATGTCTATGTGTATTGATGCTATAAATCTAGAGATTGTTAAGACATAGTGCTTAATAGAATGCTCTTGTGGTTTATTTGATGGTTCATACTCATTTCTTGATGGATTGTGCCTCTCACTTAGTTTAATTAGTTTAATTTCATGTCATTAGCTTAATTGTAGTGTAGTTGTAGTTTAGATGTTAAATGGGAGGACAATCCATACTTGTTGTTTGATGTTCCATACTTATGAAAACAATTAGCATATATCTTTAACCTTGTGATGTGTTTGGATTGTGAGCTTAAAAAAAGGATTAATGGCTTAGTTTGATATATTGTGCTATCCACCATGTTACTTAAACAATATATACTTAATTAGTCATCCATGCTTGTTGAAACAACTACACACACACACTATTATTGCAATACATGTTTTCCCCCTTATTAATCATTTATTAAGGGTGTAGAAAAGCTATGCTTAGTGGTGATCTCTAAATCCCAAGATCTCTCTCTTATTTTCTCTCTATTGCATTTAATTGTTTACTTTAGTTTAAATTGTATCTTAGTGTAATTCAACCACTAACCAATCTTTTGATCACTCGACCTACTAACCCTAATCTCGATTCCACAACCTAATACGACCCACTAATCTATTGGAACGATCCATACTCGCCCTAACTATATTTTTAGTGAAAGGTAGTAGTGACAAATTATAAATGTAAAACTTAGCCACACTTATCTTAGTCCAACATTCATTCTTTTTGCTAAGCTTTGGGGTGCTTGACGACGTGCACCACCACAACTGACTATCTTCCTCCTGCTCTTCCTCAATTTGCTGACGCCGTAGGAAATCCTGCTACCTACGTGCCGCTCGTTGCTTGTTTCTCTGATTGTCCTGTCTTCTTTTATCGTTAACCATTCTGTTAACATAGAAAGATATACATCAAAATGATTTAAGCGAACCGTAAAGGAATACAACGAGTCCTAAACTTAGGCTCTAAACAAAAGAATACGCTACGCAGAAGTCTATATACGAAAGATCCCTAGAGACACTTGAACCTGAAGTGCTCTGATACCAACTGTAATACCCTTCGATTCTAGAGTCATGGATGATCAAGTCCGAGCATAGAATACAAGGGATATTAAATAATTAATATTTAAACAAGCATTTAAATACAAAAAGAATAATAAATAAATAATAAGTTGAAGGGAACTAAATAATAAATCCTTATTTAAAATTTTTCAAATAAAATAATAATTAAAAGTTCCATAATAAAATCCTCCAATCCTCTAATACCAGTAATTAATTAAACTATAACTCAGGAATTCATACTGTGGACCCATAATAATATCCTAACTGAAATAACTGAACTGAAATAAAACTAATAACTAAAATATGAAGAAGAGTCCGACGTAGATCAGAAGAGTGAATGACTGTCTCTATTCAGCACGAACAATCTCTAAGACTAGAACTTACGAATACCTGAAAAATAATGGTGGGTCAGGCCTACAAACTTGATAAAAGCCCTAGCCTCATTTTTCCTCTTTTTCTTCCTTCGTTCTCTCTCCAAAATATATTACGTGATTTATTTTCTAACCCCTTTTATAACCCTATAGTTATATATTTATAGGCAAATAAAATAACCTTAATCTTTTTTCCAATTTAATTATAATTAAAAGAATATATATATATATATATATATATATATATATATTATTTAATTAGTTACCTTTTTATATTTTATTTTAATTAGTTACCTTTTTATATTTTATTTAGATTAACTTATATATATATCCTCTATTATAGAAATATATATATATACATATCAGATTATTTAATGTTATAAATAATATTAATTAATAAATTTCATTCCTTATATATATATATAGAGAGAGAGAGAGACACACACACACACACACACACAACTATCTATGGGTGACTATCTATACCCATTTAACCTCCCATCCAAATAGTCCATAAGACCCAACTTGTTAGTCCACTACTACTATCCATATCCAATTCCTTTAAAAAAATGAAAAATAAAAATATATAAAAATAAAATAAAAAATAAAATTCCTAAACAAATATACATCATCACACACAATTTAATTAAAACAAATAATTCAATTAACACATAAACAATTAAATCAGTTAAACAATTAAACACTTAGCCAAGAAATCAAATAAATAATTGAAATGCAATTAAAACAATTAAAATAATACCGAAACTATCCTTTTGAAATTAAAGGTATTACAATGATCTAGCTACTCATTAGATGAGCTGCAAGTTGCACAATTCCACATTGCGTATGAAGAGTGAAGGTGAAATGCTTATATGTGTTGGTTCCATCTCCAAATGGTATGAAGCTTTTTAGAGTAAAATTCAGGAATAAAATCGTGCAGACTTAAGCCTAAAATAGACAATATCATGCCATATGGTTTAGTGAGTCATTACAAGCATCCCTCAATTCTAAATTCTAAAACACACAAACCCATAACTACGAATATGATCACTAATAAAATGAATACAACATGAAAAATAAGTACTCGCGCTTGTCATAAATGTATGGGGTGTCCAACATCTTTCTCACGCATAAACAAACTCCTAAATCCATTAATTTAGTTCACGAAAACTAGATGGAAGTCAAAGTCATTAAGGGCCCACGCCAGACCTCGCATGTGTGATAATAATACCACATCACATCTTAGGTTACTTCACAAACCACAACTCATTGTTAGGTAGCGACTCGGAAACAGAACAATTGGCCCATTGATAAATTAGCCATAGCCGCCTTGTCGCGTTAACCTCCTTCCTTTTTTTCTTTTTTTTTTTCTTTTTTTTTTTTTTTCCCTCCGTTGATGAGATAGGCATCACCATCATACTAATGCCTATACTTTTGTCAGTGTTTCGAGAGGGAAAATTATCATACCCCTAAGGTATCACAGAAAATCTTCGAGCGCGACATAGGTCTTGCATTCTAAATAAGGATTTTTGATATCTCAATTTATTGAGTTGCATTCTGAAGACAATGTGAGACAAAGTAATAAAAAAATATCTATTTAAAACAACTTTTTTGTAATTCATTGTGCATTCCTAAAACTATGTCTTTTTCATAACCCTCCGTTGAAGACAATATTGGGCTTTAACTCATTATTAGGGTTAACTTTACGGTCAATGAATAGGAGAGAGAGTGGTATTTCGATTTAGTGAAAAGGAGAGAGAGAGAATCTAAATCTTTGTCATTCTAAAAAGAACAATATGAGACAACGTAGTGAAAAATATATATATATTTAGAACACATTTTTTTCAATTGATTATGCATGCCTAAAACTGTGGTTTTTTCACAACCCGACATTGAAAACAATAAAGGGCCTTAACTCATTATTAAGGTTTACTTTACGTGAGAAAGGTTAAGAAATATGAGAGAGGTGAGAAACAAGGTGTGTAGCGATCGAACTGTTAGGTAAGGCTGCATACCCACCCATTTATACCCAATCTCTTTTCCATCCGATTTCGATGTGGGACAAAAATGACCCTTGTTACATTCTCCCCCACCCAAACTCGCACCGCCCTCGTTGCGGTTGGGCCACCCTGCCTACCTGGGTGGACTCACTCGGACGCCTTCCGGGCCGGGCGCTTGGCGTGGCACCGGATCAAAGACTGGGTTTGGCTCTGATACCAACTGTAACGGGTGGGCGCTTGCCCATTTACCCAAAAGCTCGAACTGTTAGGTAAGGCTGCATACCTACCCATTTATACCCAATCTCTTTCCCATCCGATTCCGATGTGGGACAAAATGACCCTTGTTACACTTGTACAGTAGATGATTTGAATCCGTAGTCATTATATATCTTTACTTGGTAATTATTAAAATAGTAATTAAATATTGTTCGGACATTCAACAGTACAGTTGAGACTAAGAGTTTACGTTCAAGAAAAAATAGAAATTTTTTTATTATACCTCCTCTATGACCTTAATTATTCTTTAATCGCAAATAATAGGATGCGTAGGCACTCAAATAAGCAAACCCTTGGTTAAAAAAAAGAAAAAAAGTTTAGTAACATACCAATGTGACAAATGGTTGGAAAGGAAGTAAGTTTTCATTGTGTGATACATCAGGAAAAAATATATATATATATAATAGAATGGCATGAGAAATATTACATTGTCACATCCATTTTCTTAATTTCAACCAAATTATACAAGAATAAAATATTTTGTGGATAATATTTTTTTCCCGCTTTTATATATTTGCCTTGGTTTTGACGATTTAAAAAGTCCAATAAAATGATAAAGATGAATTACGAACGATAAAATGACATCTTTTAGAAGTCAGACAACAACTATAAATGACATTACATGAGTCCCACTTAAAAACATTTATAATATGAATTTAATTAGTGGGCCTTACTTTTAATCATCTCTGTCTTTAATTTTAGTCTTTATAATAAAACAAATATAAAATATGCCGCTTCAAGTTCAAGATGTTATGTTACATCTACCGGTTGAGATTGTTTCACACAGTACTGTGTGAATTGACTCCAGCTGTACTGGAGAGGGCTCATAACTCCTTTTGCATAGACTTGGATGACAATTATCCATTTATTCTAGTCCGGGCTTGCACTTTTGATGACAGAGTGGCAAACTATGCCTCCACTAGCTTTAAATTCCCCTCGACACTCTCTCTCTCTCTAAAATAGTGTGTGTGCATATATATATCGAGTAGACGACATGGCCCCACTTTCAGTGGGGTCAACAGCTAACTCTCTAGAACCGACTATAAAAGAGCTCAAAAGAACAGACCCACTTCTCACAGACACGCTCTCATAGTTTCATGTCTTTCTCTCTCTAAAAACCAACGTAGGAAACATATATACATGGCAGATTACGCTGCAACAATCTCTCTCTCCCAAGCTCGATCCCTCTCTCACACCTCCGAGGAGGAAGAGGAGCACAGCCCTCGAAGTGTTCCTCCACTCTCCAACAGGCCCAAGATCACCACCATCAACCACCGCTCGTTGGCCGTAGGCGGCGGCGGGGACTCCAGCAGCGCTGGTCATGAACTCGTCGTATCAACAGCCAGCCCCACCTCCCGGAAACCCCGTGGCCGTCCACTGGGTTCGAAGAACAAGCCCAAACCGCCGGTCGTAATCACCCGAGAGAGCGAATCGGCGATGAAACCGGCGGTCCTGGAGATCTCCGCCGGCTCCGACGTCATCGAAATGGTGGGTCGGTTCGCGCGGAGCCGCCGCCTCGGCCTCACCGTGCTGGGTGGCTCCGGGACTGTCTGCGACGTCACTCTCCGCCACGTGGTGCTCCGGGGACCCTTCAACATCCTCTCTCTCACCGGGACGATACTTGGTTCTTCTTCTTCATCATCTTCTTCTTGTGGTTTTGCTATCACTGTTTCAGGGCCCCAGGGACAGGTCTTCGGCGGTGTGGTGGCGGGAAAGGTGGTGGCAGAGAGTGCGGTGGTGGTGGTGGCGGCGACGTTCATGACCCCAACTTTCCACAGGCTGCCTTGTACTAAGGTTGAAGAGCCTGATCATCATGAAGCAGCAACAAAACCTCTTCCTCCTCCTATGTCAATTAGTGAGGGCTGTTCCAGTACTGGCATGTCCATGTCAATCTATGGTGTTGCGGCACCAACGCCCTTGAACTGCCAGATCTCTCCTGATCATCATGTCCTCCCTTGGGGTCCCACCTCTCGCCCATCTCCTCCTTACTAGGAGGAAGATCATGAAGCAGAAGGATCCATATTGAAAAGCTGAAGAAATTCATTTTGCATATCTTAAACATACAGTTGTCTTTATTTTATTTAGTTTGCATGTTATTTAGAGAAAATAACAATGCAATTTTTTATTTTTTTTTTGGGTTTATTTCCTTTGAATCTAGCTGTCAGATACTCTTATGGTTCATTAAGTTCAAGCATTTTAGTTAGTGTAGCATGTATTGTCTTTGGAGTTGATTTATTTTAAAAATATAATGGTATTTAGTAGTTATTGATATCTCATATATACATAATGGAGTATAATTTTGTGTGCGTAGATATATAATATATAATTTTTTTTTTTTTTTTTTAACGAAGCCTGCAAAATGTTATTTATTTATTTTGTGCTTTTGCAACTGATTTGATGGGATTGTCAGTTGTTCAGGAATTCCCATTGTCAGGATGTGTCCCTCGGGAAGGACCAATTTCCAACTCCCAAAGCAGGCAACAGAGTGAGTCTGATGAGTCCTGCAAGAGAGAGATACTGCCTCCACCGTCCCAATTTATATGTCATCATTAAAAACAAATGTAACTTACAAAATTAAGAGTCACAAATTTTAATAACTTTAATAACGACATTTAAATTAAAACAAAAAGAGTATGTATGTAGTCAAAACTTGTGTAATTACTAACATGGTAGACTAGACAAACTAATATATATATATCTAGGCATATTAAGGTTGCTTTTAGTATTTCTTAGCTTTCAAGTTGATAAAATGAAAGAGTTTGAATGAAATAAAGAGTCATCGGACTTTGTATTTCATTAAAAATTTTTGGTGTGGATATCATTACTCTTTTATTAATATCAGTGATAGTGTGTCATGATTGAATAGAGATGCGGGAGTCTTTCGCTCTTGCTTTCGTTCAAATTATTGTGTGTGGAATATCATTACACAGTCATTATTGGGCTAGCTAAGATACAAATGTATGTTGTTAGAGGTTTTATGCTTTAAAGAGAATTAGGAAGGTGACTGTAATAGAACGAGAGAGAAGCAAGAAGAATTTATGTGGACCTAACAACAATAATTAACAATAAGCAAGAGTTATAGTCTTTTGTTTAGGGTAGTGTGATTTGGATAAAAATTACATTTAAAAAAAAAAAGAAATTAAAGAGGAATTAATCACACAATGTACACATGCACAATGGTACTGAATATATATATATATATATATATATATTATATATATTAGATGAACATCAAAATGAATAAAATGACCAAAAATTGGTTATGTTTGTTGGTGGTCCCTGAGACACACATGAATCTAAGGATGTTCTTCTCCAAAAAGTCATGGGGATAATATGAATATAATATATATCTTACTACTTTCCATGCTTCAATTAATTTTGCGTGTGTGTGTATATATATAATTTATAACATATCTTCATATGATGCATTTTTCTATTCCAGTTATATATACAAACATGTATATCTGACCAACTTTTCTATACATATAAATTACTTCTTTTTCTATTTCAATTGGAGTTGAAGAGTAGTATTTATGTATACATACATACATACATTTATATATATATATATATATATATATATGGTGATGAAGAGAGAAGCTTTATTCGTCATAAAGCATATGTGGTACTCCAATACCCAGTCAAAATGTTCAGAACATACTTGGCTTTCATAAACTCAGAGCTGACCTCTGATCTTAGAAGTATTTATTACCTTTTTTCTTCTTCTTTGAACATGCATGAGAGGGAGAGAGAGAGAGAGGGAGGGAGGGAGGAGGATACAGTAACTTTTTTGTTGTGCAGAACAATGATGGGAAATTACAGTGGTAAAAATCGGGTCGTAGTTATGGTGGTGTGCACACTGCAATATGTTGGTGTATAGTTGAATGTGACTCCAAAAGACTGCTAAGGGCTAGACCAAGTGGTGCACGCGAGGTCTGGTCCATGCAGTACCAAGATGGGGAGGGTCACACGTGTCAAGATCCCATTGGCAAGTCTGTTTTTTTCACGAGAAATGTATAAAAAACAAGAGAGAGAAAAAGCTGCAGGATGAGTTCAGGTTTATCAATCTTGTTTTTTACATTTTGATCCCTAGCTCGGTCAAACTAGCTCCAAAAAATGATGCATGCCTGAAAATTGCTTTTTTCAGGTCTGGTTGGTTTTTGCCATTACTAGTAGAATTTGTTTTTCATGTGTTCTAGATCTGGTTGTGTTTTTGCTGTGTTCTTAGCCTTGGCCTAATTAGTGACGGTTTTGTGCATACATGTGTGTATGTATATACATACATACACAAGTAAGAAAATGTAAACTTAAGCCCTAAAATATTTTTTGGAAAATAATTTTAGTATTTTTTGGTGTTTGATTGTCGTAAAATATTTACGAAGAAAAAAATATTAAAATTTATTAAAAATAACTTATTCATTAATTTAGACAAGTTGTTTACATGCCCCCACCCCAATGGACTCAACCTCAACATGGGTTAAACCTTTGTCAAACACCAAAAAATAAAAATAAAAGAAAGCGTCGAAACAAACTGAGCCTTAATGAAAATAATGATGATATGCCTGCCAAAATAATCATCCAAGGTTAGAAAAATGTTCGATATCGATCAACAGGGGCGGACCCAGAAATTATGTGAGGGGGTAATAATAAATTTTTTTAGTAATTTTGGAGGGGCGTAATAGTAATATTTTAAGGATATATAACTGAAAAAGAATAAATTAGTGAGGTATGTTATTAATAAAAAAAATATTTCGGGGGAGGGCAATGTAGGTCATGCCTGATATCAACTATATAGTCCATATAGTTTTCGGTTAATGAATGCTCACTATTTTCTTTCATAACAAAAATAATTAATTACTATTGATGGGAGGTACTACTTAGTTGGTACTTCTGGAGTAGACCTGACAATGGATCAGGTTGTGGTTCGAATCCGATCCGATTACTCGGATATGGATTGAATAAAAAATTTGATATCCTATTTATAATTCGAATCCGATAATTCGATTTCTTAACAAATCGAATATGAATTTATGCTGAGATGTATGTATATATATATATATATAATATTTTATATATATTATATATACAATACTTCTATCAGATTTATATTATATGTAACAAAAAGAAAAAAAATCATAATGTTATATGTACATTAGTGTGGTGTTTCCAATCACATACTAATAAATTTCCTAATATACATATTAATAACGGCATAATATTTATTCATTAACAAAGAGTAAATGGTATTTTTTTTTCTTTTCCTTTCATATTTTATTTATATTTTGTTTTATATCATTTTTTTCTAATCATTGTTTTTTATTCTCTTTTGACATTAATTTTTCTTTTCTTTTCTTTTTAAAATTTTTTCTAACACTTTTATTAGATCGGATCGGATTATCGAATCGGATATCCATTTATTAATAAATCGAATATGGATTCACTTACAAAAAAATTCGTTAGATTATCAAATCGAATAAAATGTTTATCAAATTCGAATCGAATCAAGTCAGATCCGATCCGATCCGAATTTAACCTGTTGACAGTTCTACTTCGGAGTGCCCAATTTTTTCAGGATGGTTGGCCTGAACGCTTCGGTCCAATAATTTTTGAATGCTTTCTTCTCCATGGCTGAGTTCTACATGCATATCACAAAGACTATGAGATGAGTGTAGGGGTGTCCCTTTTAAAACGTCAAATCGTTAATCTGATTCTATCCAATTCAATTTGTACAAATTGATTCGGTTTCACAAGCAATCGGTCCAATTACGATTTTACTTGAAAAAATTATAGTTCTCATACAATTAAGTATTTGAAATGAAAAAACAGTTGGGTATATTGTGTTTGAGCTCGACTGTACAATTAATCATAGAAGGTATGATTGTTTTGGGCTCCTTGGATTGTTTTAGACTTTAAACCACTAAAACAAAACGAATCATAATGCAATAATTTGCAAATTAAATTTATGAATCAGTTCGGTTTCAATTTTAATATTTTAGAGCGACATGATCAAATTAATTTCAAAATATTACCAAATTGATCCAATTCCAGCCATGTGCATCTTCGGAATAGTGTTGTCAAGATAATTAAACTCTATCCAACTTTCAATGGTTATATTATATATATATATCTATATATATATATATATAAAAATTAGTGAAAACACCATGTTGCAGCTTTTTCTTAGATACACTTTTGTGAGTTTGTGGGACTCATCCAAAGGTATGTCGGTTCATGACCAAAGTACGGCAAGGCCGGGGTGGGGGCTCTCTCATAGATAACATTCCCCAATGCAAAGGCTGTATTTATAGTAGTACTTGATATGGCATCTGAAAGGAGGGCTGAGTTTTAATGGGTACGGGCAATCCATTAGTGCGCCTTCCTCTTTAAAGTTGAGGAGTCAATGTTGTCTCTCTATGTGGAACTCTGTGTATGTGTGTATATATATACACTTTTTTTTTTTTTGGAAGTTTATATATACACACTGTGGTTGCAACTTGCAACTTTAGAGCGCCTAAGACTACTCACTACTTATAGGCTTGGCTACTACCTGGGGTACCACACCTATTTCTGGACTGTGCGATCAACCCAGTCTAGAGTCGGCCCATGAAAAAATTATTAGATGGTTTGGAATAATGTAATTTGGTCTGTCATAAATTGCCACCTAATTAAAAATACAAATAATTGAATAAAAGTTACGATAATTTCTAATTGATCGAGTTAATCAGTAACATATGCTAAGGATGATAAGGCAATGTACATTCTAGGTCATTCGTGGTCTTAAATCATATTCTTTTTTTATTTTTTAGTTAGTAACATGCACCAAAGAGTGTCTCCTTATGAACGCCAACTTTGAATTTAGAAAAAAAGAATGAAATACCACTTGAATTAATTCCTTTTAGTGATTGTCTAGAATCCCACCTGAAAATTTAAGGGGTAAATTCTATTTACTTCTTTTGAGGTTTGTCAATATTTCATATTGACCCTCTCTTAGTTTCATAATTAAAGAAAGTAAACATAGGTTTAGGTTTTCTCTCTGCAAATTGCAATGAGAGAGATGAATATATTTATATACCAGCAGATTTACTGCAATCACAATGTACAGCTCATACGAGGGAAATTAGGAAAAATTAATGGGGAGAGATCAGGGGAAAAATTATAGGACAGTACCTGAAACACTATGTAGCTCATGAGACAAAAATTAGGAAAGAATAGATTGGAGGACAAGGACATGATTTCAAGTTGTCTCAAAACTTTTTGAAGTTAAAACTAACATGTCATTTGTTGATTCATCTTGATTTAGGCAATGTTCTTCTATACTCCCCCACAAACTAGGCTCTACTCTAGATACAAATGCCTCTATAATTCAGTGAGTTAGTATCTCTGATGGACTTTGGAGTGCCAGGCTTCAATTCTCTACATCTATTAATCTAACTTCTAACATGCGTTAACCCTTTCTT